AAAGGCAGCGTGACTTGGAGCAGCTTCCATCCTGCGACGATGCCTTGAACACCGTCAAACAACCACATCCGCCTCTCCCAGGTCCTTGGGAAGGACTCGACAGGTGGATAAAAATGCCACATCCAGTCTGAACATCCGGCTGACTGTGCGACCAGCCATAATGCTAATTTATATGCTGCCTGACTTCCAGAGACTCTGGGTGGTTTGCAAATGGTTAAAAACATTTGAAAAACAAGAAAACGAAACAAAAGGAACAAAGATGGGAGATATACCCAAGTCAGATGGGAATGAAGAAGCGGAAGAAAAGGGGGCTTGAGTCCCCCTCGCCAAAGGACTGGGCAAAGAGCCACATCTTTGAGGCCCTTTGAAACACCCGTAGGGTGGGGGCCGTTCAAATCTCACAGGAACCTCCTTAAGAACAGTGTTCAGCTAGTGCGGCTGAATGGAACTGCCATGTTCAGAGGCAGTCTACCTATTGCTGGGGAACAAGTGGGACACCCCTGTTGCTTTGTGCCCAAATCTTGGTTTTCCTCTTCGGGAGTCTGGCTGGCCAGGGCAGGACCACGCAAATCCTTGGTCTGACCCCAAAGAAATCTTCCTAATGATTTACAGAAATCGTCTATTTTAAGAGAATACTTTCCCTTGTTGAAGACGGGCTCAGAACTTCGTGAAGTTGGAAAAGTCCCCTCCCGTTCATGAGCAGGACAAGATGCTTGGAGATGCCCGGAGAAGAAAAAGAGCGAATGTGTTCATCAGCCTGACAGTAAAAGGGTGAAACTGGGCAACATGCTAGTGTGACATTCCCAACTCGGCAGTTTCCACCCACGTGGGAATGCAGCCCTTGTTCCCCTAGCCGGCTGGAGAGCACCGGGTTGGAGATGGCTGGGCTGAAGGTGCCCTTCTGCCCAGGAGAAAGTCCTTTTCACATCTCTTTTTCCAAAAATGCTTGGTTAGGGCATGGAGAGGTGGGTGCCCTTTGCTCAAATCCTCCCCAGCGCTCCTGTTTGATCTCAGACAGTAAGCAGGGCTGGTTCATCCTTGGATGGGAGACCACCAGGAAACCTGACAGCGGTGGGCTGGACAGCCAATTCAGAAAGCCTCTTAAAGGAGGCCGGGGCGTTGTGTTTCCACACTGTAGCCAAGAAGATGACAAGGCTGCAGTCCCGGGCGTTGAGTTTGACCTGCGGCATCTGTTGTCAGCGAGAGAGCGAGGTCACTTTATCCAGCCAGATGTTAGGCCTTGCAGCTGCTTTTTTGAGAGCGGTGGCTTTGGACCCCCTCCAAATAAGCCGTCCTCTGGGTCCCCTGGAGTGAAGGGGTCCCCTCTGCCCCCTGTCCTTCCCTGGTGGCCCCAGCGCTTGCTGGAGATCTGCCCAGAAGCCTTTTGCACCGCTGGCCGGTCTTCTTCTGCTCTCTTCCAGTCTTCCCCTGCCCAGGAGGAGGAGCAGCCAGCCATTCTGGGCTCCGTCTCCAGATCTTGGGATCCTTCCAGTCGGGATCCTGGAATCCTGCCGTGAGTGAGCCTTTAGCTCCTCCTGGAGGCGCAGAGAGAGGGCCTTTTTCTGCTGGTGAAGAACAGCTCCTGCCCCAGCCTTCCCTGAGCTCGCAAACCCATCCCCGGATGAGGGATATGGGAGTTGTAGTCCAGCACGCCTACAAGTCAAGGAAGGCTGCTTTCGGACAAAAAACAAAGGAGAGGGTGGACAGAAGGAATTAATGTCCAAAAAGGGAAGCATGGACTCACTTCGCAGGGATTAGGGTTAAACTGTGCGGCAAAAAAATCCGGAGACTGCGGGTGCCTTCTCCAGCCAACGAATTTTATTAAAAGGCAAAAGCTTTCATCCGATGCAGAGCGTGGCTGCAATGAAGGGAGCTGCGTCTCAGACCCGTTTATGCCTCTTAATAAAATCTGTTAGCCGGAAAAGGTACCCCCGGACTCCTGATGTTTTAAAGGGGCAACTTCACGAAAGGAGATCAGGGGCTAGATGAGAGGTCAAGGAAGCCTCCGTGTGCAAGAGGGGTGTCCCGGGTGTTTAGAAAGGGAGCTAAGTTTTAGAAATGAGGACCAGAAGCTTGAGTTGATGGAACGGTGGCAGAGGTGAGGCAGGGTCTTAAAGCCAGGTAAACTTCAGGTTTAAGGTGAGTTTGGGGGAGCAGAAAAGGTGCTTTGGGGGCAATAGTCCTTTCTGGCCCCTCTCCCCTCCCCTTTTATTTGCTTGCTAACCGAACGGGCAGGGCAGAAGCTGGGAGTCGACTCGATGGTCCGAGTCTTCCCGCGGTGGCACCCATGGGGTCTCTCACCTTGATGAAAGGTTAATTTTGAAACCCGATGGCTGAAATGGACCAGATCACCAAAGCTCGCCAGGCGTTGGTGGTTGGGTCTCCCCACCTCCCCTCTGAACTCCTCTGGGCTGCTAGAAAAATGGTTTTCCTTGGATGCGCCTTCCCGGGACGGGCAGGGGCTTTGCTCCCCATCCGCCCAGCTTGTGGGGGACGGGACCCTCACCCTCCGCCTCTCTTTCCAGCGACGTGGCCGTGGAGCTGCCATTCACCCTGATGCACCCCAAACCCAAGGAGGAGCCGCTGCACAGAGACGGTGAGTTTCCCAGCTCCTCCGCAGGGGGCTCGGCTGGGCGGGGGAGCCGTGTGGGAGCCGAGGAAGGGTCTGGTTTGGGAGCTGGGCTGGGACCCCCAGATGGGGGATTCTGGGAATCGAACCCCTAGCGATTGCAAAGTGAAGGAGCCTTTGGTATTCCAAGTTCAGCTTCTGGAAAACTGGGCTGAGTCCGGCTGGCTCTTTGTAGTGCATCTCCTGATGGTGGAGATATTGCCCCTCTGCCCCCCGCCCCAGCCTTGCTTTCTCTCCCCGTGGGGTGATAGACCGCTGTGTGTCTCATGCTTCCTGTGAGGGGTGGCCGCTGCCAGCGTGTGGTCCTGTGGCAATGCGGTAACCGTCGGGTGCCCAGTTGAGAAGCAGCCTTGCTCCTCAGCCTTTCCAAAGGCCTTGATCTGCAACAGGCAAGATTAGCATCCCCCCCAAATGATCCCCATGAGGACTGCTGACTTGAGAGGGCTGGCAAGTTGAAGAATCAGGCTGGCTGGGGACGGAGGTGGGGAGAGGACTCCTGCCTCCCAAAGAAACCGACCGGTTGCTTTGTTCCTCATCTTTAGCTCCAGACAATGAAGCTCCCATTGACACAAACCTCATAGAGCTTGACACAAAGTAAGTCACACTACCGATGTGTGTGCGTGTGTGTGTTGGGAAGGGGTCTGCATGGGCGGCCTGGATTCTTTGCACGTAGCCCAGCTAGTAGCCATTGCAGCCTCTGCCTTGGAACTCGCTAAGAGAGAACTCACCACGCGTGCAGAAGCTGCCTCCTCCTCCTCCATCCGAAGATCTGAGGCTTTTACTCTCTTGCCCCTAACCCTCGAACACCCAGCCTGCGGGTGTCTTCGCTTCCTTCTCCTCCTCTGCATGCCCCCCCCCGACCTTGGGTGTGTTTGTGCACGCGGAAGCCAGAAGGGCACAGGAAGCACCTCTGTTCTTTGCCTCCTGGCTTCTGATCCGGTGGCCTTCTGCACTGCCTGGCTGGGAGATGGTGGAGGGGGCACTGAGAAGGGCTGGACTCCCCGCAGCCTCTCCCCTTTTTAGTTTTACTGAGTTGCTGTTTCTGGCCAAATGGGTTTGGGAAGTATGGCAACATCTGCTTGGCCAGTGACAGCTAGGAAGAGAGTGGAACCATCAGCTTCCTGGAGGCTTTCAAGTCAAGGTTGGGCAGCCGTTTGCTGGGCTGGTCTCTGGGTTTAGAAGGGGCAATTCCCAGTGCTGCTAAGGCTGATCCTTTTCCACGCGAGGCCAATGCTCTGCCCCACCTCCCCCCCCAACCCTTTGCCAGTCATACCTGCCACATTTCTATTTACAAGTTGCTGGCTTCAGACATCGCACTAAGCCATGATTAGTTTTGACTATCGTTTCCTCAAGAACGCATCAACAAATATGGAGCAAGACTGTGTGGCCTAGAGATGGGATGAGGTTAGTGGAGAGACCTATCTTGACGGAGTGAACTGCAAGAGACGGTCAATTACCGAACTATTGAGTGAATTCCTCACTCGGGCTAAGTTTGGCTTAAGATCTTAGGAGATGACTAAAGATGTTCGTGGAGAGGAATAAGCGGAATGAAAAGGCAGGAGGACAGGAGATCAGAGGGCTAGCCTCAAGTGGATAATGGAGAGAATACAAGGAGAAGTTTGCCATCGCTTTGTCAATAACAACCAGGCCTTTGATTCCATGGTTCATGCTCAAATGTGGAACGTGTTAAAGGTGCACCATGGAGGAACAAGGTGCTGCTGTTAAGAACGGAGTTTGGAGAAAGGGTTGTTCTGAATACAGACAGGAATGAGACAAGGATGCATGTTGTCCCCACATTGGTTTAAGGCAGTGTTGTCCAAACTTGGCCACTTTAAGATGAGTGGACTTCAACTCCCATGGCCGGCTTGGGGAAACTTGGGGTTGAAAGCCCCTCCTCTTTAAATGGCCAAAGTTTGACAACACAGCCTTAAAACCATGTGGGGGCAACAT